GGGGGATCCTGGAGAGGCGAGATAAGAACCAGAGGAGAGGATGTGATAGAAAGAGGGATGAATGAGAGAGCAAGGTAATGAAAACGGGAAAAGGTTTTTGCGAAGGAGAACAGCATGAAAATGAAAGGAGAGCACAACGACAGCAGATGGAGAGTGGAGATATGAATATGAACCACCCCCCCCCCCCCCCCACACACAAAACCCCTTTGGGTGACCCACTTTATGTACCTGGCCAGCCTTAGACACACACGCGCATACATGCAAGGGCACAGAGAGACGGGTGATAATGTCGCACTGCAGCACTCTGTGATATTTAGCGGTAGGGGGACAGCTGTCATATTTGGTGCTGTTTTGCACAGAGATGGGAGAGATCGATTTAAAGTGATACACTCTCACTCCAACTGGAAAAGTGGAGATCTTGTGTGAACAGCTCAGAGCAACGAACCGTATTCTTCTCTCCCCGACGTCATTTTTCCCCCCTCTCTGACTCCCCTCCTCAGTCTGAAAGGATGTCCTCAGTGGGCCCTAGGTTAATCCTTTCATCCTTTGTGTATGTTATCTATTCTTAACTTGTACCGCACATACACTCCTCATAATGTTTGTTGTAAGCTACGCTGAGACGTCTCCCCCGTTCATGATTCATGAATGGTAATTATACCGTTTAATTAACAGCGTCCATATTAACCTCAAAACATGCAGAAAAAGAAATTTAGCATTTTTTGTTGAAGTTGCTCTTTTGTTGAAATGGAGTAATCTTTCAGGGAGGGCGGGATGAAGTTTACCATGTTGCAGTATAAGATCAGCAAGTGGTGTCCGCCAAAGAAAGATGTCGCTGTGTCTCATACAATATCTGCTGAAATTACTCAAAATGAGCTGAGCTTTGGCTGATGAAGTCATTAGTTTATAATAATGATGGAGCTCTGCAAGTCTCTTCTGGTTTGTACTGTGCGGATCAACGGCTCCACCTGGTGGTGCCAAAAACCACTGCCTACCTGGGGGAAAGGTCATGATGAAAGTGTTTGAGTTTTGGTTGTTTTAGTCTTCATGACTGTTGGTGTTTGTATCTCAAACATGCAGCTCAGGTATGCTGTTTTGCAATTGCTTTAAAGCAAAAAAGAAGCCACTAATTCTGTGCTCCATAGAGGCAAAGGCTGTTTAGTATTCTCGGTACTGCCAGTGCCCCCTTGTGGTAGGACACAGAAAAGTATTAATGTTGTAAAAACATGCTGATCGTCTTCATCTCCAGTCAAATTGAAACCAGATATGTTCCTGACGTTTTCTCTGTGTCTGTCTCTCGCAGGTGTGACGAGTACGTCACCCAGCTGGACGAGATGCAGAGGCAGCTGGCTGCAGCAGAGGACGAGAAGAAGACCCTCAACTCTCTGCTGCGGATGGCCATCCAGCAGAAACTGGCCCTGACTCAGCGCTTGGAGGACCTGGAGTTCGACTACGAGGAGACCCGCCGGGGGGGCATCGCCAGCCGGGTCAAGGCCCGCAGCAAGGCCGCCAGCGGCACCTCCGCCCTCCCCCACGTAAGTCAGAGTCTCACCTGCTCTGGCTCCGGCCGACCAGTGCTCAACGCCATGCCCAATGGCATTCTGGGAGGCCCGCCGGCTTTTTGCAGCGAGAAGTACAAGATCTACTGTGACTGAGGCGGCTGAGGAGTCCGCAAGGGACTGCTGTGTACAGAGGGGAGGGGGGGGCCCGCGGGCCCGACCCTCCCTGCCTTAGTGTTAAAGAGCCCCACTCTGCTCGCTTAGCTCCCTGCGCTCCTCTAGGGACCGCTGTGTGACTAACCAGCTGCTCATGTGTGCTCGTGTAAACGCTTAGGGGAATGCCGATGTGTGTGTACAGTGTGCACTAGACGTTTGGACTGTGGTAGACATATATGGCATGTGGATTATAGGGGCCCCCGGTATATTGGGGGTTTTGTGGGTATAATGGCGTGTCTATTCTTTCCTCTGTCATAGTGCTGTACGTATGACGTAAACAAGGTGGCAGCTTCTGTGCTCGTTTGTTCTGCCCCCCCTCTTCCCCTGAGTGTATTGCCTGGTAAGAGTAACACATGGCGGGGATTGGGACTTGTAAAGAAGATGTCGATCTGACGGTTTTGTGTCTGTCGGCATTGGTGCTCCTTTAATAAAAGCCCCCTTCTCTCACCATCCTGCCCCCTCACCCCGCCCCCACCCCACCCCCACCAGGACTGACCTGCGTCCAGCAGCCCACCGTCTAAATCAGGTCAAAGAAAAAGGAACTAAAAATATGCAATCTCCCTCTTGCTTTCCTGCAAGGGGAGCACACAGTGTGATTCTACACAGAAATTTCAAACGTGGGTTTGCTACTGGGTTTGTAATGGAATTGGTGGGCAGAAAAGGAGCACCTGTGACCACAGGTGTTTATTTCAGGGTTGTTTTAAAGCTGTGACGCTAGCACACCAATACAGTAGGGTCAGTAGAATCGCATGGCTTCGCAGCTGAAAAACGCTTATGAGCTTCTTCTTTTTTAAACTGTTTCTATGTCGTCAGGTATGTGGTACAGGAAGAACTCCTGTACTACAGGGCTCTACGTTGTGAAAAGAGGAGTTATTCGGTGTCTGGTGAAACGCAGGAGGGCTACTCCATGTGACCCGTCACGTTGCGATGGATTCTTTCAGAGCCATGTTATCCGAGAGAAGGACGTTTTGACTTATCGATCTCCATAAACCCAAATTAAGTGCACTTCAGCAAAGGTGCCTCAGGTTCCGACCTCTGTTAAAATGGATATATATCGATTACTGTGAACGGAGATACAATATAGTTTTGATTCAAAGGCGATTTTTTTTTTTTTTTTTTAAATGCGGAGTAAATCCTAGAAGAGCACAAATCAAAAAAGAAAAAGGCGCCCACGCGTGCACAACGAAATCTACGAACAAAAACCAACCGACCGCTCGGCAAAAGTGCCTGTCGACCCAAACGCTTGATATATTTATCTATCTGTTGATGTAAAGCCCTGTCCTCGTGTCTCCCCCACATCCTCCGTCTCCCTGTTCTATTTTTAGATCGCTCCGAGCTCTCAAATGATTTCCGTGCTGTTGCGTGGCTAAAAAGCCTTCCCTCGTGTCTCTAATTTGTGTCTTTTGTCGCCCGGTCGCCCAAAATGACCTCCTCTCTTTCTAGATTGTCAGCAGCTTGCTCCTCCAGCATCACCACTCACCCTTTAACTAGAGCGAGGAATTGTGGGGGAAGTTGCCCTCTGAATATTTTCGGTCAGGTAACGTCCTCACATGCGCCGCGTTCCCGATATTTGCCTGTGTGTGTGTGTGTGTATATCAGCGTTAACGTGACGGGCCCTCGTGTGTATTCTGGTTTTAACCTTTTGCAGATGGAGGGTCTTTGTTTTTGTTTTCTGGTGTGTGAGGACAGAGCGAGTGACTTACTGTTTTTGTATTCACAATAGCTTTAACCCCTCGCAAGCTAGCATTACGCAAATAGGAAAAAGAAGTGGGGCTTGTGTTTTTATAAATCCATGTACTGCTTGTGGATCATAGACACATTAGCTTTATGGTGCTGAAAGCAGGGTTGATGAGGAGATCCTGCAAGATTGATCAAATTATGTGTTTTCTACTACCACTATGCTATATATTGAAATCTATATTCTTAATATGATCATGTTCAGGTTATAATCTTGCAGGATCCGACTACAGTATTCCTCCCTCTCGGATGTAAAGAGAGGGAGCTTAATTATTCCGCCCGAAAATGGAGTCAACCCTGCTTGAGAGTGCATCCGTAAAGCCACCGCGCACAGCGTAGACAGACGAGGCTATCGCACACACACCTCCTTCAGAGGTCAATCACTCTTCAGTTTGAGATTCGCTTAACTTCCAAGTGTGATGCATTCTTTATATCAGTTTGCTCTGACGGGGGAAACGGTTCGGGGAGTTAGAGGAGGGAGAACTACTCTCGTCGTAGACCGGCTCCAGAGAGAGGAGATGGAGAAAGCCAGATGTCCTGGCTGAGAGCTGACTCTCATACAGGGAGAAACTCCCGGTCATTATTGGAGGGGAAATTTAAATAACACTGGTTGCTCATTTGACCAGAGGACACTGATTCATTAGGGCCCCGAACCCTTCCCCCTTGTATAGGCTCTGTGGAATCACGGAGCGGTAGGTGGACCCCAGGATGGGATTGGGACTAGAACCCCGTCGCCTTTAGAAAGATGAAACTCCCACGTCGCTCCGTCCGGTTTGAAAATCGATGTCTGGCGTGTCTGCTGTCGTAACAGCATGCCACCTATAAAGCTCCTCCTACCTCTGCTTGCAGGCTCCGCCCATGTCACCTTTTTTTAAAGTTTTACCACACAATGCATCCAGTTTTTGATTCCCAGTAGGCCTGCATGTCAACTCATTCTCCATTAACTTGCATGGCTCATGAACGAGACCTCTTTTTGACCCCGGGGTGGTGGGACGAGGCTTCGTGGTGCTCGAGAGTCATTGGCTTCCTAACTGCACCCGCAGGACGGTCATCACGTCGGGGGTTCCTAACAGGGCTTCCATTGCGTTGACTAACTCCAGCCGCCGTGCCGCTCTGAATTGACAAAAAACACCAATGCTGATAACGTTTGTTTCTTCATTTTTACAGTAAACACAGTAGTTCCGCGTGGACGACGAAGTGCCAACACAAAGGTCCATTCTCACTGCTGAGTTCACCGAAAAGAGTTAGCACTAATAGAACATTAGGACTCGAAGACAAAAAAAATACTAAACGAAAACACTGATTTCCAGTCGAATAAAGTGACTCACTTTTTAAAAGGTTACGGCTGTTAGAACGACACTTTTGCATGCTGCTGCTGCTGCTGGAAGCCAATTCCTCAGAGGTCCAATGAACTGATTAAAAAGTGTGGGTTTGTGATTAGCTAATCTAAGCCCTCCAATGAGAACACAGGGGACTCTGGGTCTGGTCTCATCTTTTGTTTTGTTCTAGTTTATTGTTTTTATTTTGTAATCTGTGCACTTTCATTATATAGGGTTATAACGGACTATTATTAACCTGTAGGAGTGGTAGTATATGGTTTGTGAGTTATTCAGCATAGGTTATAAGACTTTAGGATTATTCGTCATCCTGAACTTAAATAACAAACCATTTACTCTAAAGGCTCCACAAGCCACAGACCTGCTATTATGACTTTATCCTCAAGATTTTATCCATCAAATAATCATGTTTTGAATTGTTTTGTTACACCATATGTTAAGCTGTTTGTTTGTTCTGCTGCCATGTTCTATACACAAAAACAAAAATCCTGGGTGATCAGATTCTGGGGTTTTTTCATGTATTTATTATTCCTAGGAATAGTTCGAAAATAACACAATGAAACTTGACAACGCTCTGACTCAAATAGGTAAGTTGTGTTTCGGGGAAAAAACCCAATTGAGTGGTATGATATGCTTTTCCTCACTTCTTACCGAGGGCGTTCCACTGAAACGGGATCACTGACCGCCAGCATTCTCTGCAAGTGCGACAATTAAATTCCAAATTGGAATTGTTTCATTCTCTCTTCGTTTATCGTGCCAAATCTTGGCGCACCGTTTAGGTTGAAAAGAATCGAGACTCGGAAAGAAGACAAACCGTCACTGAGACATGATGTAGTCGGGGGGGCGCCGTGGCTCTGCAAGCGAGCGCCCGGGGTTTTGCTTTTGGTTTGTTTAGTTCTTCGTTTCTGACCAGTAGTGCCTTTCATTGTTTCAAGGGAGAATCTTAGACTAGTACTTTGTTTTGTTTTTTTACAGGCGAGGACTTCGGGTTCAAAATAACTGTGAGCAGCAATAAGTGCAAAGGGAATTTTTCCCCGTCTGCATAAGTGATAGTTTTGAAATTAGCTCAATAAAAGTGAAATTGTATTGAATTCTGCAGGTCAGTGATCCCACTCATTAAATTCAGGGGTATTAAGAAAAAGGTTGTTTTTTTTTTAATCAAACTTTGGGAACCAAGTGAAATCCCTTTGGCCTCCTGTTGTTGAACAAAATGCTCCGAGCATCGGTCATGTGTCGGAGCAGGTCGGTGTATTATTGGAAACATCTCCGCATCTCTAGCTTTGTTTGGTGAAGGTAAAGTGATATCAATAGTATTGTTGAAAAGAAATGTGCAGAGAGCGCATTTTCTTTTTGTCCAATTTGAGTTATGTTTGTTGTTGTTTTTTATTATTATTATTGATTTTTTTTTACATCATTTTTGAGCATTATGTTTTCAGGAAACAGAAAACAAAATTAGCATCAACAAGCTTGAATAGTGCCATTACAGCCAATGCTTGTTTGTTGAGGCGTTAAAACTTACCAATACGGACGGGAAGCTAGGAAATAAAAGTGCAATTCAGATAAAAGTTTTACATTTTACAAAAGGAAAAAGAAAGTTTTCTGTTTGCTGGAAGCGATAGCGTTGTGATAATACAATTAGCTGTGCAAACTTTATATTGTCATATTGTGTTTCAGTATTGATCCATAATGAGTTTGATATCTTTATATGAAATAACGACTTCACCTGTATGTTGGTATTTATTTGAATTGTCATGCAGTACTGTATTCTTATCAATAATGTGCATTATGATTAATAGCATATTGATAACAGCTAAATGTCATATGCATGTTTCCCAGTCATGGGACCTTTACACAGAATAGAAAACAAACATGTGAACTTTTGTCAGGGTGTTAAAAAATGAAAAAAAATAGACGAGTTAAGTCTGATGTATTACTGCTGAACTAATCCTTTGAAAGTGTTTTGTTTGTTTTCCAGTCGAGAGGCGGGATGTCTGTGTAAAGGTAGTCATGCTGGCTAAAAATCAATAAATGTGACTTCAGTTCCAAGGCGTGTGAGCGTTGTTATTTATAGCTCTTGCAGCAGATGAAGGGTTAACCAGGGAAGTGAATGCTCTGCAGGCCTGGCGGCTCCTCAGAGGGTTCCCAGCTGGAAGCCAGGGGCAGGGGGAACTTCCCAGCAGGCTGAGCGGCTCCAGGACATGATCACATTTCACACAATGCACAAAAACATTTCCACCATCTACCCCCACTCTTCCCTCTCTCTCTCTTCTCTCTGCTGTCTCGCTTAAACCTCCCTACCTCCCTCTCCTTCCCTCCCTCTCCCTCCTCGGCCTCCCTCCTCGGCCTCCCTCCATTTCCAATCTCCTTTCCTTCCCTTCTCCCGGCCTTCTGGAGATACTCCCACGCACAGATCGGAGCCAGTTTCTTCTGACCTCTGGGACACCCAGCACTTCCTGTCCGGGCTCTGGAGGCCGGCGCTCAGCCCAATTAATGCAGCAGTGAGTTTACAATGGAGGAGAAATGCTGCTGGGCTCCTTCAAAAACCAACCCGGGCGTGAATTAAAATAAATATCCGCTTTTAAATGTTCTTTGAATTCTTGTCTGGACTTTTGTGAGTATCGTGGGATGTGCTCGTGCAAATAAAAGTCATTTTTAACTTGTGTCTTAATCTAAATGAACATAAGGGTTAGACTAACGGATGACATATTAGAATATCCCACTAAGGTACATAAACTGTTGCATGTTTTCATACAAGGCATCCTGGAGTTGTCTTGACTTTATTGTTCTGTAGGTTTGATTAAGTCTAAAGTCAGTGTTTCCACCATGTATCCAGAACCTTCAGCAATCTGTTTGAACTAGTTTGGCATCTGACAAAAAGAGATTTACTAGAGAAACTAAGTTAAACCAAACAAATTGAATATTATCTTGACTGAGCCTTAACGGCAAAATGGCATGAGTTGGACCATGCCAAATGTTACTCCAGCAATTAAATGATATAATATATATATATACTGTATATATAAGTTTAATAATTGTATAGCCCCTTTCATGGTGAACATGGTTCACAAAGTGCTTTGCAAGAATATAAAATGTTTAAAAATAAAACTATAAAACAGTAAAAACAATCAATAAAACTCAGTATTGCACTTCCATAAAGTTAGTGGGACAAACGAAGGACAAATTAACAAAAAAGAAAAATCCAAGATGTCTTAACTTTTAGTGCCTAGTTTGGTGGGTCGAGCTCCAAAAATGCTGAATTCTACATTGCCTACAATGCAGCGCAATAGGGTTGGTTCATCAGGGATCATCTCTTTTTTAATAATAAAAAATAACAAATCTGCCTCTAGAGCCACAGAAGACACCTGCTGACTAGTGGCCCTTTAATGCACAACTACTGATTTTATAACATGCTTATAGACATAAGTAAAACAGCATCTCAGCTACAGTGATGAGAAAACTACAACGTTCTACCTCTCAACAGCTACACTGTTAACCTGGAATCAACTGCATTAACTGACACCACCACATTACAGTGAAACCAGTCGCCTCCATTGACTGCACGCCTCTCTGATTAACATTGAATGGCAGATTATTAATGAGAGCCAGCAGGCAGAGGTCATGTCACTGGTGACATCACTGTAGCAACAGTGGAGCCTTTGTTGGTGCCAGTCTCCTCTTATATCCTCCCCACCATGGGCTCCACTGGAAATATGGGTCAGTGGGATTCACTCCATGGCATCAGTCCTGCTCTATTAATATGCAGGTGCTGTTTTGAATCACAGCAGATGCACTATTAAGTTTCACCACTTGGGGTCCCTACAGTACAGTTGCTGACATCATCATGAGCAGGCCTGGAGTCCTTAAAAGTTACTTCAAGGTCTGGCCTTTAAAAAAAGAAGGAGAGAAAAAAAGAGAGAAACAGAGCTTGTATTTGCGCTCACAAAGAGTCTTATTTATGTGCACCATCCGGCTCTGTCATGTGATGGATCCACGTGGAGCCTGAAGGGACCGGGAGCTGCAGATCAGCTGATCCCCACACACGCCTCACATGGATTTGTTTCTTTGCTTGGATACACACATTTCCACACAGCTCTACTGGAGCAGAAATTATAGCACGGTTAGGATGTGAAGAAATTAATGGCGCGCGGAGTGTGAGCTCAGCCTCACGATGCAGTAAAACATTCCTGGACGCAGGGTGTGAGGCGTCCTCATGACTGGGACTCACGCATTATCTCCACCAAACCCTTGGTGTGGATCGCAGTATGGGATACCAGATGAGGTGTTGATTGAATCAGTATGAGCCTCCAATTTGCACCTGAAGAAGAGTGAATGGATATAGACTGGCACCTCAGACGAGAGTGTATGATTGAGCCATTTACACCATGAAGGTTTCAGATGAGTGCAAAAGTACCGCGTAACATCTCACACTTATCCGTGTCGACTTTCACACCTGTCTTTCAGCTCATCTGCCACTCATTTTCCTTCCTCTGTTAATCCTAATTGTCATATCTTCCTCCCATCTCTCGCCTTTTCCCTTCCCCTCTCCTCTTCCTCCCTCCCCCCTCTCTCTCTCTCTCTCTCTCTCTGTGTGAATGCTGTTGTTTCACTCTGCTCTGTGGCTGTTTGTGGAGGAGCCCCAGGGAAGCGGAGGAGAGGATGTATCCCAGAGGGGCAGTTTGGTGTTCTGCTTTCTGTGGACCAGCATGCCCCCTCAGACGGGCTGACGGGCAGCTCCATGGACTCAGAGGCACTAACAGGGGGCCCTTGGTCTATTTAAAACACAAGTTCAGTCATCCACAAAACATTTGGCCTCTCAGACTCTGCAATGACATGTTCAGAATGTTTCCCCAATGCCACTAAAAAAAAAAAAAGAATTAAAGCAAAAGGGGGAATGTGTTTTCTCTTCTTTTGTTTGCTCGTGTCTGCAAAATGAGAGTCATGTTTTTGCAAATTAAGCAATTAGCGTGCAGTCAGTGAGCCATGTGTCAATGAGGGGAGAGGTGATTTATAGATGCGGCTTATTAGAGAGGAGGAACAGGTCAATGAAGTGCCCTTCTGCCTGGCAAGCAGCCAGACGGGGAGGCGTTATCATCAGAGACCCTGCTGTTGTCTGTGTTGATCCGAGGCAGATGAAAAGCGTGCAGCAACAAAAGGGGTTAATGGTGCGCAGATGAGTCGAAGTGTGTTTCAAAGAAGATTGGAGTGGTGGGGGGGGGGTGGACAGATATAGACAGACACAGAGAGTTGTTAGGAGGGTTGGAGGCCACACGGCTGTGCTCCTGAAGATGTCTTCCGCATCACTGAGGAAAATACACAGACAAGAACTTTACTTGTGTGAAAGCAACAATACAGAATTGCAATTATAAGTTCTGCATCCAGAGCATTCTTATGTGAAAGCACAGACGCGCAGCTAAACTTAACTTAAAGTATATGTAAAGAAGTATAGAGGAGCAACCTGAGCAGAGAAAGAAGTCGCTCTGTGTGTGTGTGTGTGTGTGTTGTTATCAGAGCATCAAAAGTAAATTATTATTCTGAAGACGATGGACTGATACATTATTAAATATGATATTAGTAGGCTGGTGCATCAATGCATACGTATCATCTTACTGCTGTAGCTGAGTGAGCAGCTACAGATAGTTTAGTCCAGTGGTTCCAGAGGACTCGGGTCTCATTCGAGGTGTCGTGAGATGATTAATGAGAGTTGGAAAGAAGACAAAACAAAAAAAAGCTGCTCCACACATTTCTATTCATGTTTTGGACTTTTCTCTCATCTTGGTGTTTTTTGGGGGAAATATTTCTTTGGGCCTCAGAACAGCTGTTTGAATGAAACCATCTAAGAAATGTGGAAACATGATGAGGGGGCTCCAACTGTGTTCCTGTGAAGAGTCACAAGCCAAAACGGTTGGTAACTGTTTGTTTTAAAAATCTTTAACAATGCATCCTATTTGATAAACGTATCATGTGTTCTTAATGTAGAAGGTTAAAGTGAAAAGTAAAGTAGAGGCCTAACTATAGCTGATGTAGTGGAGTAGAAAAGTACAATATTTCTATGTATTATAAAGTAGCATACAACTCAAAACTGTAGTGGTGACTCAAAACTGTACTTACGCACTTATACTCAGTTACATGCCACCACTGCAAACAACAGAGCTGTAATGCCAGCAGACCCTCAGTGGTGAAGAACTTCTTTAAAATAGTAAAGCCTCCTAATACTATCAGACTTTGAACTTTGCATGAACGGGACAATACACACAAGCAACGGAAACTAGATTTTATGATAGAACGAAGTTGCAAATTCAAGATTTGTTTTGTCCCTTCCTTATTGCTCTGCACAGTGAGTTCCCAGAGGCAGCTGACTGCATCCATTCAGCTGGCTGGAGAGACTCAAGATAATCAATTAAAAGATGAGGAGAAAGCCTGAGCAGTGACATGGAAATACAGTGCCAGTTAGTATTCCTGTTCCAGGCTCCGTCTTCTTTCCACACTAATAGGCGGCTGTGGAGATTTCACCCGATCTCTCGAAATAGGCCTCATCCTTTACATGACTCCACGTGACAACCCGTGTCGTGCCTCTGTGCCGATGGGCATGTCATGACTGAAAATGCAATATCACTGAAAAGGACAGAAAACTTTAAGTAGACACGGAATGGATACAAGAGTGTTGAGATAATATGGCGTCAGACTGAACGTCTACTAGTGGGTTAAAGGATACAAATGAACTTATTTCCAATCGTTCATTCTAGCGTTCGCAATCAATGAATGGGGTTGTCGTGGCCGCGCCAAGCAACAGGAGCGCGCATTTCCTTTTCCTTTTTTTTTTTTTTTTTCCAGCGACACAGAAGAGCGAGTTCTGCGTGAGGAGAGGGAGGAGAAAGCGCTACATGGAGGACTACAGCGCTCTCATTCTGCACACACACAAATGACCCGGGGAGAGTCTCTCGCGTCCGTTAGGAAACAATGAAGTGTCCTTAGTGTCTTTTTCATTTTTTTTTGTAGCTTTATCGGCGAACAGGAAAGGGGGGATCCGAAGTGGAGACGCTCCTCTGAGTTTACTCCCCCCTCCTCCCTCCCGTATACGCTGGAGCCGCTGCTGTTGCCAGTTTCTCCTTGAAAAAGACGGATTCAGCAGAGAAAGAGCGGAGAGGAACTTTGTGCAGGATGCAGGGGGTTTCAGCTACTGGTGAGTGTGAATCCTTCTGCTTAACAAAGGCGGGTCTCTTCTTCTATCTCTGTCTTCTTTCAAAAAAACAACAACTCCACGGTTTTCTTAAGTTGCTTCCAAGTGGCTGTACGGCTTGCATTGCGCACAGGGTTTGAATTCCAAAATGCTTTCGCCAGCTGTCACCGGGGCAGCTGCAGGCCTGTCCCCCCGCAGCAGAGCTCCGACGCAACCCTAAAGAGTTGTGTTGGGCCGCTGAGAGGAGCGGCAGTGCCGGAGCTGACACGGCGAGAATAGGAGCCAAAACCCGCAGAGTAGGACCTCACAATCGGCCCAGTCTGACGGAGCCCCCCCCCCCCACACACACACACACACACACCCCCCCACACACACACACACACACACACACACACACACACACACACACACACACACACACACACACACACACACACACACACACACACAGTATATTAACACATCACACACATCTGGATATGTGACCAGAAACCCAAAAATGAGAATGCTAGATTTGATATTTAGAGGAGGTGTCATTCATCCTCTTCACTGCTGTGTGTGTGTGTGTGTGTGTGTGTGTGTGTGTGTGTGTGTGTGTGTGTGTGTGTGTGGCCACCTTGTCCCTGTGTGGAATGGGATTTGTGTGGAGGAGAGAGAGTGTGTGTGTGTGTGTTTGATGCAGAGCTCATGAGATTAGATATGTGCGCCTGTCTGTCTGTCCATCTGTCTGTGATTGAGGAGGTGTGTGTGT